GGGCATCCAGTGGGCTGGTACCCTGCTGGGCTGCCTCGCCGCGGTCATGATCCCCATCCCCGTGGTATTTTACATCTGGGGCCACAAGATCCGGGGATGGAGCAAGACCACAGTGAGCAGGGAGGCGGCTGGGAGCGACGAGGAGGACCTGCGACGGGAGAAGAGTGAGATTGAGGTTTGATTTTCTTTTTTTTGCACGGTCACTCGGCATGAATTTGGCATACGGAAAGTGATTCACGGTATTCACGGGTATTAGAATGGCATCTGGCACGTCTGGCGTACCACAGCAGAGAGACTCGAGAGGTTATGGCGTCCTTGGAGTCAAGCGCTTCGAACTTTGCATTAATGTCCTACCTATGGCTAGGTAGGTAGTATAATACATCACCAGTATATGTATAATGTGTGCCAGTGGTGAACATATCACGCCTGGCCGTTTTCTCCTTCTCCAAGCAAGGGAGATTTTAAGAACTGAGCTGCAATAGTTAGCATCAGGTTTATTCGTGTCTGGCCTAGTCTATTCTATTCTATGCACCTCACATATCAGAGAGATGCATGTGTTGGTCTTTAAGCGTCGGTGTGCGTTTTTGATACAATAGGTAGGTAGGTAGGTAGTCTCAAGTCTCAGTTCTAGTTTCAATTCTAGTCTCAACTTTCAAGGCTCGCGTCTCAAGCCTCACATCTCAAGGCTGAGTCGCGCTCACTCCCTGTCAAGACCCGGATTCCTGGTTCCTGATTCCTGAAGAGATCATACTTCATGGTTCATGGATATCTAGCTAGCTAGCTAGATGGAGAGCGCCCTTACCAGCCTGGTGGTGCTTGTTCCCCACTCGCTGCTCCTAGCTCCGTGCTCCCAGTGCCCAGTGCCCAGTGCCCAGGACCCCGTACGCCTGGAAAATGCCTGGCAAAAAGGAAAAAGGCGAGAAAGAAGAAACCCCAGGGAATCCAACGCCAGGTTTTTGTCCTTGCCCTTCTCTGTGCCGGGTATCATATGCAGAAATGCCAGAGAAACCCCCTCAAAAGGAAAATAAAACAAATTGGAAACAGCCATGGTTCCAGTGGTGACATTTCCTGTCTCAAAAGAAAAGAAGGGTATTGGCCGCGTTGAGTGTTGATGTTCTATCCAAAATGCTCAAAAACGCCATTAAGACCCAGCCATGCAGAATTGTAACCAAATCCTTTCCAGCGCAATGCAGAAGTGAGCCGTGAGAAGTCAAATGTCTGATGCTGTCATGTTCGTGTAGGTTGCTGTGCTGCTGGATTCGTAGACGGTGGTCGTGCTGGTGGCAGGTTAATGCAGTGCCGACTCACTTCCCAGTCAAACCAGTTACCACCTTCCCCAACCGGTGATTATATTCCTCTCTAGACACCTCATCAATTCGTGAAGTCATCAGATTCGTGCACCATATCTCCAAAACTTTTGTGTGTTGCCTGCTCATCTCATTTTCGCTTCAGCCTGCTCCAGAAGCTCCAACGTCAGAGCTTGCGTCGACGGTCCGAGGTCAATGAAATCATCCCTTGGAAGATCCCATGGAAGTCTCCTCTTTCCCTTTGGTCTTGCCCATGGCAATTCGGGCTTTTGCATTTTGGTCTCTGTGTCCTTTGACCGTGGCTTGAGCGTTGCCTCTGGAGCCTTGGGCCCTGGTGCTATAGGTGGACCCATGAGAGCCGTCTTTCCAGCTGCGGTCAACGGTGTTGGTGTTGGCTTCGGCGTGTCGATTTCTGCCTCCACTTCCTGGACGAGCGCAATGAGATCTTCGTCCTCTATTTCGTTGAACACCGAGTTGAAACTTTCAGAAAGAGCCTTTGATAGTGGCACACGAGACGGCGATACTGGAGCAGTTCTCAGTGTAACGGGGCTTGCTTCACGTCCCGGGAGATCGCAAATCAAGTTACTGCCAAGCGGACTTGTACTTTGTGAATTCTCTCGTGTTGGCAGATCGTCTGGAAGTGACTTTTGAGTTGCGCAGAGCATGAGAAAAGTCTCATCATCTATACCCTCGGTGAAGTCTTCATCCGGAAGCACTTTTGATGCACCAAGGCAATCTTCACTTGTGTCGAATCTCTTCGTTGCCTTGTTACTCTCATGCCTGATACTACCGTCATCATCCTGTGGAAGCAGTGTCTCCGTCGGAGACTGCTCCGAGATCTCGTTCCTAGTGGAGACTGTTGGTGGACTTTTCGGGTGCCCTTCAAGACTGGCCGTTGTCTCTGCTTTGGGAGAGGTTGACTTTAGCCGTGATAGCCCTCCTAACCGCTCCGGCGACGTGACCTTTTCTTCACTCAAATACTGACATGGTTTAAGTCGCTGGGAATTGATTTGCGACGGTCGCAGCTCTCTGAGTGTTGGTGACTGTCTCAGATTTGATGACGGTGCCGGTGAAGCATGCACAGTTGAGCCGTTACTTTGTCCTTGTCGATAGTCATCTACGGCTGGCTGTGCATCCTCTGCGAAAGTCTGTGATGGACTGCGGACCTCTTGAAGACGAGGTGGCTCTTCTGGACCTCCAGCAGTGGAACCGGAGGCCTGCATGTCCTCATCCTCCACAATAGGTTGAGCTCCTGTCGCATCCTTTGTCGCCCGAAGTGCTGGCTTGTGTCCAAAGAATTTGTTCAGTCTGGGTTGGCTTGCGGTCACCTTGCCCCAGGTGTCCTCCACGTTGATCCGACCTTCGTCCAACATCTTCTGTCTGACGACGCGCTCCTTCTCAAGCTTCTCCTCCCGCTTCCGTTTGTTCTCCGCCCGTTGTCTCTCTTTCTCCAGTTCTTTCTTTCGCTTCTCTTCACGCGCGTCCAACCTGTCTGCGCGGGCCATCTGGGACGCCGTGTATCGGAAACCTCCCTCTTTCTTGTAAGCCCGCTTGGCCTCCTTCAGGGTCATCGGAGGCTTCGCGGGCCGCGGCATCTTGGGCAAGAAAAAAGTAGGTCGGAGGAAAGTGTCTCGGCACCACACGCAGTTTGCACAGGAAAGTAACCCTGGTGCATTGACGCGATGGCTTGGACTAAACAAATAGACGAAATGCACGTCACTTTAGGGCAAGGCGGAAGAGGTTCCGCATGCAGCTCGGCAGACCTTCCCCATGCTCAACGAGGCTGAATGTTCAGCCACTGTTTGCTGTAGACCTTTATGATTCTTCGACATCGTGGTCAGGCTGCTCAGCGTCCTCGCCTTCGTCCTCCGATTCTATGTCTTCAACAGGAAATGTAAGGATGGCTGCAATACCCCCCAAGCCTTCCAGCCGTCTCCCACTCTCATGGTCGCTACTGAGGACTCTGACTTCGCCGCCCTCCACCTCTCTCACTCGATCGACAAGCCTGACCCATCTTCGTCTCGTAGCGACGTCCTGGCTTCGAAATAGGGCGTTGCTGATCAACAGAACTCCTCCACCACGACCCACAGCCCCCTTTTCAACGCATGCTTCGACCTCTGTCGGACCGTACCATGCCCGTCCGTCGTCCTTGCGTAGGAGAGCATAGAATTCGTCCATTAACGCAGTCTCCCGAGCATATTTTGTATCTTTCAACCTCACTAGCACCTCTGGGCTTTTGAGCACCTCGTTGAGGCTGTGGAGGTGGCCGGAGCTGCTGTGGATCACTATAAACGCATTCCGCCTCACCAAGTCTTGCAGCATCTTGTCCCCTTTTGTAACGGCGGTCTCACTGATCTGTTTCAGAAAGCCTGCTGCCGTGAATCCGGGACTCGCCAGTAAGATTGGAAAACTTGTGCTGTTATCTTTGTGCTCCATCAGGCCTTGAAGTTGTCTTAGCAGCGTGTCCAGCACGGTACTGTAGAACTTGGTCAAGCCTTTGTCGTGATCCGCCGATCTTCCGGCACCTGTCCGCTTTCGCGGGACCGAGACCTCGACTCTCTGCCTCAAGACGGTCTGGAACTGTGTGATGAAGCAAATGTTGGCCAGTCCTTCCTGCATGACGACCGCGACCGCTTCAGTGCCCCTCGTAGGATCTATAGCCTCTTCTAGCTGCGCACGCGCGACACTATCCCAACCCTCTGACCCATCAGTTCCCTCGACCACCTTTTCAAGGGTGAAGTTGCGCTGCAACTCGAGGTCGAGGGTGTGGAATTGCCCGATCTTTGTATACCTGTTCTCTCGTGCAATCTGGCCCGATACATGCAACTGCCCAGCCTGGGGGTCGAAATCCAACGACTTGACCCGTATCGTGAGGTTCGTGTGGACACGTTGAGACGACGTAGAGCCCGTCGACGAGGATTCGGTGGTCACCCGCCGGATGGCAGAGGCAGTGAGGAGGTCTGTGGGCCGAATGAGGTTATAAGCATGCCACTAATTGGAACACCTTTCAGAGTGAGCGCGACGGGGGAGCGGCCAGGGTGGTGGAAGTACCATGTCTTCAGGTTCCTCGGGGCACAGCGTGACGCTCCCACTCCCGTCGTCGTTGATATTTCGCTTGACCAGACGCATTGCGACGATGTCTAATTGTTCGGTTTGTCCGAGTCGTTGGTATCATTAGCGGTCGCAATTGCGGACGGGTGAGTGACAAAGATTGATACGAGGGGAATAATTTGTGGTCGTCGAGGGTTTACGTGGGGTTCCTACGCATTGTAGATTCGACCCCATCCCATTCGTCCCTTGAATATGCTTCGTGACGTACGATGTTACCCGATCTATCCTCCTCTGTATCTCAACGGGACACCAGATTTGACTCATACCTGACCAGACATGTTTCTTTCGAATGCATTACATCCTCGCTTGTCCTAGCGATTGTGTTTCTTCCAATATGGTGGTACTTCATTGTCGCGGCCTCACTATTCCAACATGCCTCAATGAATATCTCTTGCCCAAGTCTACCTTATTGGGTAGGCCACTGTACCTGGACTGATAAATCGGCCACACTTTGAGATTTGTTCTTCGGTAAATGACTCGTATCGACTATATTGACCGTTGCCCACGTGATCACCTTACTGCATTCAAATCCTCAAACTCCAGTTCTGTTTCTGCTACGCTTGGAAGTAATGAGTGCGAAGCTCAGGTTGACTGCCAGGTCCACATGTTCAGGCCCATCTTGTTCCCCGAGGTCACGGGCATTCCAGCGTGCAGGGTTTGCGGGTTACCCTTGCTATCGCCGCTGAGATTATCCCAGTACACGGCATTGCCTTGAATGGGCTTGAAGGTGACCCCGTCGTCGATGGGACGGTCACAGTCGACAAACTGGCACCACCACTCTTCCTCCTCGGGCGGTGGCTTCAGTCGAGGGAAGTTTGTACCTCCCCCGGTACAATTTGCGTGGATGTACACGAAGAAGGTCGACGCGACGTTGCCACCGACCGCGTTGGCGTCGCCGTACCAGTCGTAATGGTCTCGATACTGTCCTGCAATGCCGTAGTTCTGCACCACCAAGGGTTGGAAATCGCCGACGGGCTGGTAGAAAGGGAAAGCCTGTGCGCGCTCTTCAATCTGCTGGATGATCTTGTCCCTGGGCAGCTTGGCCGTCATGGAGGATCGGTACGCCGAGTCTCGGTGGACTTTGCCTTCGTCAGTCCATAGGACGGAGGGCTTGAAACGGGGTTCGCTATCGTAAAAAGCTCTTAGTAGCCCCAACACTGTCGGGGATGTCAATAGGCGATCTTGAAGAGTTTGGTCACTTACGCGAGCTGGACCAGATGAGAGGCTTCTTGCGGGGTGATGAAGTCTTGTATGTATACCACCAAGGGATCTTCTGACAGCAGGTATGTCTTCGGTCCCTTGCTATTTGTCCCGGTATTACTTTGCCATACAGGGAAAAGGTTCCAATCAGAGTACAAGTGCCCGACGCCGATAATCGTCGCCAGCACGGGTACCAGTACGAGAGGCAATGTCCCAACTGGCGTCATATTGGCATCGGATACGCGTATCGGGGAGCATTTACCCAAGCCAGTGGAGAGATCTGGGCAACGTCCAAGAACGAAGAAAACTGGTTAATTTGGATGTGGTAGAGGATCGGTGTTGTAGATGCAGCATATCATCCATCGTGCTCTCGGTAAAGGCGCCGACTGGCTGCTTGTTCGACCTGCTGTTTCTATGTAAGATTCATGCCCATGTTGACTTCTGTACAGCGATAGCATCTCACAATTCGACATCTACCGTCCGAGATGAAGGCCCAAATACTTGTTCGAACGTGGGTCACCGTCTTTGCCTTGATTCAGGTTCATGGCTGCAAGGCTGTGCTCGAGTACGCAGCGCCCGCAACGCTCAAAGCCCTCGTGTCGACCGCCCAGAGCAAGGACAACTTGGTCATTGCTGTCTGTAAGTTACCAAGTTGTTCCTTGCTTGTTTCTTCTTGCCACTAATGATAACTTTCAATTCTAGTTTGTCTGGTGCGTAGCTTTTCTCTCTCTCCGGTTCTGAAATCACCCGACTGAATGCCGCCGTCAAACCACAGCCTTGGTAGTACGTTGAGCGAGACAAAAGGGCGGGCGAACCATCTGTATATTGACCATTTATCAGTGAACAATGCAAGGCTCTGGCTCCAGAGCTGGAAAAGGTCAAAGAGGCGCTGCAACCGTGGCCGTCCGCTCAATTGTTACTCATCAACTGCGAAGGTGAATCGGATATTTGCCCTTCTTATGGGGTAGCTTCTTTTCCAACCATACGACTCTTGCATGGATCAAGACAAAGTCGATATAGAGGAAAGTTCCGGGCTTCCTCGTGAGTATTGCTTTCGCCGTGACTTCACAGCACTGATCTTTGCAGCGTTGTAACCAAAGTACTCCAAACTATAACGCAACTGGTTTCTCAACCTGACAGGGAAGCCTTCGGGACGTTAAAATCGTTGGACGTCCCGCTACTGCTCTTCGTCGTATCTGAGGACGAAGCTCCTGAGTTGTCGACCGTTAGAGCCCAGGTGGCCGAAAAGCTTCAAGACAAGTTTCTAGTGGCGACCACCACCGACTTGACCCTAGCCGAAGAAGCGGATATCCCACCCCCTTTTGTGGTTGTCTGGAACTCCCTGGACGAAGTCAAGCCCATATATCGTGACAAGTTCGAAATGGGACCGATTCTCAGGTTTGCAGAGCAGACCTCGACGCCGGTAATCGGTAGGCTGGACTTGAAATCGTACATTGACCACACCCAGGTTCCGTGCACTGTTCAGGCTTTGTATGTGTGTTCCTGCTAATTGGGACTCTAGTCGAAATTGCCGATCGCTTTTATCCTCGCCGAAACCGACAGAGAGAGAAAGACCATTGCCGAGTCATTGAAGCACGTTGCTCTCAAGTACAAAGGAAAGATCGACTTTGTAACCCTCGATACAACAAAGCTGCCCTTTTTGCTCGAGCCGCTTGATGTGGACGCCACACGCCTGCCTGCATTGGCACTACATCGTGGTGATGACGATGAGGTGTTTGTCTACGACCAGAATCGTCAGATCAACAGAAGGGACGTCGAGACTTTTATACAAAGAACCATTCATCGGCCGGTGACGGAACTATAGGCAACGTATCAGCGTCGAAATCAATGATCAGCTCAGAATTGGGCGACGACGGCTGCCTCCCAATCTGTTCTCTACCATTCAAACAGCTCCTGCACTGACCAAGCAGAACTTATCCCTATCGTTGTGATCTTTTCGTGGATCCGTGATGGCGAAAATGTACAAATACATGTCACTACAAGCACAGCGATCGATCCGCGACGAATCCGAAAGCGACGCCATTCTCGGAGAGAAACTTTCCGGCCACGCGCGCTGATCCGTGACGATGTCAATCAGCACTCGAGCTGCACAGCCAGGTTTTGCCACCAGGTCTCCTAGTGATCCGGAAACCTCCCTCGATACACATCACCAGATTTCATTGTTGGGTGTTGAAGAGGCTCGGCAGAGTAGGGCAGTGGGTGACAAGTCTACTGCCACATCAAGGCGCGGTTACCTTAACTGCTGGTGCTTGAACCAGGATTGGACTGGCAGCTTTCAGGCAGGCAGCTCTAATGGCCTAACATAACGACAATATTTCGCAGCACACTTTGGGAGAACTTAAGTTCCTTGAAGTATTCTTGTCTGGGGCCTTGGGGCGTTCTGATCCAACAACACCCAAAGTGACACCGCCGTTATCTGTCCTTTGCACTCAGACTGGGCCAATGTAGTATATTTTGGAGACGGGCGAGGGAGGTAGGCATTTTGAGTACTAACTAGCCGGCGAAACAGTTTACAACTTAGCGCGGGCTTAAAGCAGGGCGGCGGCTGCGAGGCACACGAGATCGTTTCCATGGCGGTGACGGGGGATCGGTCGCAGCTGGGATTGCACATCAGTGGTCGAGAAAGGCGAGAGGACACCTTCAAGTGGAGGTAGGGGGATGAGGTCAATCAACTCTTTTTTTTTCAACTGGGGACGACAAATCGTGTATCAGGTAATCCTCCGTGAGGTGTTCGTATTGGAGGAGTCTGTGCAGTTTTACCTTCTGCGCAAGGTGCAATCGTGACCAACCTCCTTGGAGCAAAATGAGGAGCGTTCAATCAAATTAAATCCCCCACCCGAGGGCGCTGTAGGCGTCCCAGCTAAGCCTAGTGAGCCCAAGTGGGCTCCCCCAGCCTCCCAGGCTTACCACGTCCCGTGCAACCTCCCAAAGTCAGGAGGCTCCGAGTGCTTCTAGGCACTACTGGTGGCACAGTTTGCACACAGGCTCCACCAGCTGCATCATATTATGTTATAGCTGCCGCTCAACGCTTTACCTCCGTCCTCCGTGCCTGGGAACCCAATTATCACCAGTTCGATTTCGCAACACCCTCCCCCGCCGCCTACTTTCCCATCACCAGACTGTTACACATCTTGCGTTCTGCTTCGTGTCTTTGGCAATATTCGCACTGATTTCGCCTCTCATATCATTCCTACCTCTTGAAAGCTGTCTTCTTGCACCACCTGCGCCTCACAAAGTCAGAACCGGCCCACCCTCAAGCTTTTCCGAAAGCTCTCCGCCTGCTGCCTGCTGCGCCATTGAGCCGATTTCACGTCTCACAGATTCTTTTCAAACTTGACAGTGCCTTTGCCTGGATCGCCTGCCATGGGAAGCTTCGTATTCAGATGGTGAGTCGATGCGCGTCGCTTCATGCTAATTTTATCGCCGACTCTGTGATCTACTGAGTCCGGCGCCAAGTTTTGACCAACCCGCTGACACCTGATTTCTAGGCCCCATCCTGAGGCCAATGATGTCCACGTCACAGGGACCTTCGATGACTGGGGAAAGAGCGTCAAGTTGGACAAGGTCGGCGAGATCTGGGAGAAAGAGGTGGACTTGCCCGTGGCCGACAAAAAGATCTTCTACAAGTTCGTTGTCAACGACCAGTGGATCATCGATCCCGAGGCACCTCAGGAAGACGACGGCCGAGGGAATGTCAACAATGTGCTACTACCTGAGAATATCAAGCCCAAGGCGTCCATGGTCCCAGAAGCTGTGACCACATCCAGCGCGGCTCCTGAGAGCACCACCGCAGCCTTGGCTGGCCAGGTGCCCTTGGAGCCCAAGAAAGAGGCCACGGAAGGTGAGTGAGCCGCAGAACTATGCTGTCGCAAATACTGACCTTGTCGTCTGTCTAGTCACCCCTGCGTCTGACTCCCAACTCAACAAAGAGGCAGCGGGAAGCGGTGTCCCGGGCACGTTCCCGGAGACACCAGCAAAGGAACCAGACTCGTTCGGCGTCAATCCCTTGCCGCCCACTAGTGGCGCAGGCAATCCCGTCGACCTTCCTGCAGGCGAAAAGGTTCCCCCACCCGGTGAAGTCACGACCAACACAACGCACTCTGCAGTGACCACGTCAAAAGAAGACTACGAAAATGCAGGCTCGGGTATTCCAATTATTGGAGGAGCGCTCGCCGCGCTAGGTCTCGGAGGCGCCGCAGCCAAAACGGAGAATCTGATCCCAGAATCTTCTTTGCCTATGGGAGCGGGCGCCGGAAATTCACTAGACGCAGGTCCTTTGCTCAGTTCAGCTGGAGCGTCGTCAACCACGGCTGAGTTGGCTGGCAAAGTACCTCTGGAAGAAAGCAAGCCGGCGACTGAGGTGGACCATGCGCAAGCGATCACAACCACGGTGCCTGAGGTGGTCAAGGAGTCAATCGCAGAGGCACATGTTGATCCCGAGGCCACGACGTCTGCCGAAGTTGTCAAGGAGAAGGCGGAGGTAGAAGAGGAACTGGTGAAAAAAGTGCCCGAGGTTGAAGAAGCCGGGGAGCCAGCACCGACGATTGCAGCTGCCACGACTGAGACCGCGCCGTCGGCCACTCCAGCTTCAACAGGCGGCCCTGTTCCTGGGACATCCTCAGCTGCTGCAGCCGCGGTAGCTGACGGTGCCGACGGGACGGTTGAGCCCACAGAAGCTGTGCCACACAAGGTCGAGCCAGAGAAAACGGAGGGAGACACAACTGAATATGCGCCGCCACACGCAGCAGGTGTGGCTCCTGGAGTGTCTGAGTCTGCGGCGGCGGCGGTCTCTGATGGCGCCGAGGATCCCACACTTGCCGACGAGCCTGCGGTGCAGTTGATGAACAAGAATGAGGCTGAAACGGCGGAACCTGCCGTGGCCGCGGCTGCGGCCACCACCGCCACCGAACCGGCCACAGTCACCGCACCCACGGCGGCGGCACCAGAATCCAAGAAGGAGGAAGCCAAGGCCGCAGCACCTGCAGCACCGACGAGCGCCACTTCAACGCCGACGAAGAAACCAGAAACTGCTCCGGCCACCACACCTTCGTCCTCGGCGACTAAGGAGAAGAAGAAGAAACACCGAGTCAGCTCATTCTTCAAGAAGATCTTTGACTAGATGCCAAAGAGGCCGGCGGGATGTTACACAGACCAGGAAAAGGCCGAAGCGTGATAGAGCAAGTGAAGGTGCGCAGCGAGAGTGGAGGACGGGAGTGGGGGCTTGCGGCGCGGGAGCAATTGGGATTGCATTGCGAACGGGTCGGCGCACCCGCTGGGGTTTGGACAGCGGATTCGTGTTGATTTGGGACTTGTTTGTCTTGTAGATATCCCCTGCCGTTGTGTTTGTATTAGGAGAGAGAAGGACCTTTTTGGGGTTCGATAATGGCTAATCCGAATGCGTTGATGCGGCTGTCGCAATTTCATCGTCAACTACTGGCTGGGACAGTGGAGGGGAGAGATGTTCTCGTAATGTTCTAGAAGCACCAGAAGGATTCTCGAAGCTGTCGAAGCTGTGGGAGCTGTGGGAGCTTGATGCAGCACAGCCGGGAATCTGCAGCCCCATGAGCAAATCTTTTTCTCTCCCAGGGTGTGAGAGTACGGGATCAAGCCCTTTCTCTTCTGTCCCTGCTCCTCTCTGCCAGTCTTCCAACCCCTGTGATTGCTTGGGCCTTCACACCTTCATTGCTGGGTGCACGAAGCAACCTTCTAGGTGATCCGGTGGCTGCACGAACAGATGTTCCGAGGCCAATCAGTGCCTGGTTCGGCTCGTCGTTGACCGCCTAGTTGATGCACCGTCTGTAGCGATGACATCGCCTATCAGGTTCCTTGGCTGTGACTGGTCGGAGGTAGGGAGCTGCTTGAGCTTTGAATCCAATTGAGGGGAGGGGTATGCTGCGGACGGTAAGGGGAGGAGAAAGGAGGAGTGACAGAGAAGAGTGTTGGCTCGACGGTGGTGCTGTGAGATCTTCTGGTTGGGTTATTCTTGCCCTGTTTTCTTCTTCCATTGAGCTACATTACATACTGTTTGCTGGAGTAGCTGAAGGAGCTGTTTGTTCCCTCCATCGAGTAACATTTAAATAGCCACTGGCCAGTTGCCTGCGCTGCGCAGCTTGCAAAATAGACTTTACCTACCCATTTCAATCCCCCTCCTCATCTGTTCCCTTCTTCCTTTCTTTTATATTCAACCCCCGGCTTTCGCTTTCTCGCCTACCCGCTTGATCGTGTGCTATCCAATCTCTGGCCCTTTCAACCAAAGTGGTCCTCGGTTACCCCTCCACTGCGTCATCTGCGCCTCAGAGTTGCTCATTGCCCCACTTGCTCTCTTTCCTCACCACCTCCAACCAGCCAACCAACCTACCACTCCCTCTCGTGGGCTGGTTCGCTCCACTGTCTGCAGAATCCAGCGTAACTCGCCGTTTGCCAGTGGACATCAGACTGCCGCTTCATTGCCTGAGATAGGCATTTCGCCCTTGCCCATTCTCGCCTGTTTCCCCCTACTTGTCTCACAGACAAACCCGTCCTGCAATCCGTCAAGTCTGTGGCCCACGGTTTCACGGTCCTCGTCGGTGACAGGCCACCCTACCTGCCCAAAAGAGGGTCCTTCCGTGTCCTTCCAAAAGCACCAAACGACCGCCAGTTGAGTCCGTCCGCAGGCAAATCCTCCTAACCCGAGCTTAAGCCAACGACAGTAGCAGGCGGTCCCTGGGGTCTCAATACCCACACCCAAACGACGTCCTCCCCCACATCCTCAGACCTCTGCCGCAAATATCCATGTCTCTTCCTCCTCCTCACCAAGCCATTGTT